ATTAACTAACGTATATAAATTATATTTAATATGGTATAATTACTTATATCAGTAAAAGCTGTATTATAAATTTCGCATTATATAATTATTTCATATTTGAATCAAAATTAGGTCATAGAGGATTAATTTCATCGAATTGATATAATTTATACGGTATGAGATGACAGTACAGGTATATGGTGTACAGGTGTGGTAATCAATTCCATTGAAATTACGACAAGTTGAAGTTATGCGACTTGTGATGATCTTAAAGCATGTGTTACGTGCGTTGGATCAAGAAAGATAGGAAACGTTTTCTCTCTCTCTCTCTCTCTCTCTCTCGTTTTTCTCTTTTTCGTGGCGTCGACATACATACATAAATACATACAACGCGGTATCTCTCTAAAGCCGCTACTCGGTCGACCTAAAATTTCGCACTCTCTCGTCGATCTAGGCACGACTCCCGCGAAACACGATAATAGATTTCGTTTGCGTTTTCTGTCTGAGTAATATTCTACGTATTCGAATTTCTTATTCTCATCACAATCCTTTTTGAAATAATATCTTTTAAGTGCACTCCAATAAAAAGCAAACCTAATCGACAATATATGTATTGGTTTTTATAATATTTTTGTCTTTTGGCCTTTTCCTTTCTAGATATTTACGACGTAAAACTAAAAGATACTTAATTATTTCTGAACTTTATCACTTTTTAAGAATTTAGATTTCGTTTGCTTTTTAGTCACAATTATTATGAAATCTTGTGTTATCGACACTATAAAAAATTTAATAGATATTGTCAAACAATTCATTTAACATTAAAGAGTATTTAAGTGTGTATTATAATCAAAATTCAATAGAATTATCTTTAAAATTTTATGAGGGTATAAAAGAATTCATTTTTTCAATCTTTACGTCTAATAAATATATATATTTAAATAGAGCATAATTATAATTTCATTATTGATTTGAATAAATTAATTTGAAATTTATATAAAAAGATAAGGGGTTACTCAAAGCAAGAATTAATAAGTGATTTTAAAATGACAATATTTAAAATAACAAAAAATAACATATCTATCAGAAAGAATATAAACTCAGCAGAAATGTTAAAAATAATGTCAGCAAAATTATTCTCTTTCGACGACAGTATACCTATCTACGTTGTTATCGTTTATTTTTGTCTTTCGAAATATTTACGAGGCAATGTAAACGCTTGGCGAAAACTAAAAAACATTCGATTCATTTCATTTGTCTTGTGATCCTTATCGTTTAAAAAAATTTTCTTTTTTCTTTACAACGAGTCCACAGGTATTTCGTACTTTGGTCAAGGTTTTTAATTAAAACTTCTATTAACTTCGAAGCAGTTTAGACAGGTTTGAAAGGATAAGTCAAGCATCGAGTATGAATATTGTAATTAGATCGATTGTTATTCGACATAAGGTCAATCGAGGTGACAATGTATGCAATTTTTTTTACTACGCCACTATCAAGAAGTAGCCTAATCCAGAAACTAATGGAATATTCGCGATGTTTTGTTTTCCCTTGTTGAATTCATTGATCGACCGAGATTCCGTTATATCGTGAATTTATCTAATGCACAACATAAATAATCGATAAGATCGATCTCGAAAGCGGTCAATAGAAACGTTAGATAATTATTTATTAATTCATTGTTGGAAAAAGTGACCGGTCTGGAATAATAAAAAAAAATTGTTAGTCATTTCTTGGAATAAAATAATAGTTACATACACGAAGCCTATTTCATACGAGCTTGTCTAACGACAAAGAATACAATTTCATTTTTTCTCGGTAAAAAGCTTGCACAAACATTGAAACAAAATTCTTACTTAATATCATTTACATACTTGGCATTCATAATAGTAATTTTGTCGGGTGTGAGGTAGGGGAATAAAGGGGGGGGGGGTTGATTTGTTATTTATAGCAAATATGAATTCACTTTTTCTCCATAGAATACAGTTGATAAAAAAAGAAAAGAAAAATGGCTAGTATCAAGAAGGAATTATTCAAATGTGAACCGACAAAGGAGAAGAGCAATGCAAAGGGGTTAACATCGTGGTCTTATTGTCTCTTAGGAAGAAGATACGACGGCTGGGTGGGCGGCTCGAATTGGTACGAATTGAGGTCTAATGGAATAAACTTACACGCTTGGCCTGGCCTTTACTCGACGCCTCTTTATTCCGTTCACGTTTTCTTTCCTCTAGGACCAGTGGTGCGCAAACCGGGAGTCGCGATCCCTAGGGGGTCGCCAAATTTATAGACATTTTTTTTACAATCAAAATATAAGATTATTCTCGAACAAGTATCAGGTACCAGTAAAATAGTGAAATGATATAATATTATTTATAAAAATAAAACATCTATATAAACTGTGTCTATCCAGGAGTAGTGATCAAATTTTATACGAAATGGGGAGTCATATGGGAAAATAGTTTGTGCATCACTGCTCGATGACGACGACGACGACAAAGACGATCGCAACGTGGAACAAGAAGACGATATAAAATCATTTAAACAAAATTTATACATCTATTTAATCACATAATTTTGGTGGCCATGACATTTGAACAGATCGATCGATTGATATCGTCATCGAACGAAAGGTTGTTCACGCTTACGATAAACATTTCGCGGAGTAGTATAATAATAATAATAAGTAATAATTTATGGAGGAATTGTAATATTAACACGATGGGAAAGTTCTCAAGGTCATATGCGGAACTGCGACTAGGTATACGTCACACGGTATATTTAATTGCTTGGCGTAACTCGCTTGCGCGAGTACGTGAGCAAGAAGAAAAACTATGTAATTTGAGTTACTCCACAGTGTGTCGTAGGATCCATTGGCGAGAACGTCCAAGAAGTTAGACAATCATCGTCGAGAATATCTTTCTTACTATGCCATAAATGCATTTAAATAATAACGAACAGTAAGCTACTTAAACAATATTAAATGTCTTAAATGCAATGATCTTTTCTTTTCTGAAGGACAATCTGACGAATTTTGGTTGAGGAAACATATGATAGTTATAATAATGGCACACCCAAAGTCTGTTTAGCTTCCTAATTAACGTAGCATTCATTGATGCTGCGGTGACGAAAAAAGTTATTACGTAATACATCGTATGTACGTTGCAAACGAACAACCTGAAGTTGTTGGAAGCATTGGCAAGGAAGAACTTAACAGAACCCTGTCATTATTGAGTTCAACTGACAATGAGTTATGAATGTTCATAATGAGTATATTCTATTTTTATGAGAATTTTTCAAGTACCTACTTTTTCACATCGTCATCTTTGTAAGGAAATCTTCTATTAAATGTATGAGAGAAAAGGGGTACCAAAATGGCGGACGCGGTGTTAGAGACAATACTATTATTGGAAAAATATTTGTATCGCGAACATGTATTTAAGTAAAGGGAAAGATGTATAATATTACTAGAGTGAACGAAATTCACGTGTTAAAGGGGGTTTCGAATTGAAGCGTAGGTATGTCAGCTAACCCAGTTCTCAGCTCTAACGTCGTCCAACAGGGTCGTCGTCGGTGAACGCACTCTCCTCCAACTCTCCTTCAACTCTTCGTATATACCCAGTTTTCTTCGCTTCAGGCAGAGCATCAGTAACACTATTATTAGTACTACTTTAACATATCTTCTCTTTCTATCTTTCTATTCTAATCCTATCTTTCTCTCTCTTTTCTTCTTCTTCTTCTTGTGTATCCAGTTGCATTACGAAGATGCTACGCCATGATCGAACAAGTCGCGATGTGAACGATTTATCCTCGGGTACCTACTATGTCGATTAATCATGTAATCTATTTAAGTCGATCCTGGACGACTGGTCCATAAGACTCTTTCTTTCTTTCTTTCTCTTTTTCTCTTTCTCTACATAATAATTACGATAATTTGAATCAAATAGCGCGTATCAGTTTAATCCAAGCAAACTTCTTGATTCATGTTGGTGGTTAAGTTTATCCATAGTGAAAACTTCGGGGATAGTTTAGAGCTATTTCGTTTTGTGAAATTTATAGATTATGTTACGTACTTCGGATGAATCGATACATTGTTTGGAAAAATTTTGAATATCTCTTCGTCTCGACAATGTCAATTATGATTGTTTTACGCGTGAACGACAAACTATGGAGGATAGGGAGGAAACGCGTTATGCTCATTCTTACGTAGGAAAGAAAGAAAGAAAGAAAGAAAGTAAGTAAATTCGGGAAGATGGAAAAAAGTAATACAGGCAAAAGTAATGCTTCGAGGAAGGTGGGGTGGGAAATGTCGTTGACGAGAACTAAAATTAAATTAACCAAGTGTTGGAGACACTTCTGATTCACCTCGGCACCGAGGGTTTTATTTGGAGATGGGCCAAGGGCAACGGACTCTGCACGCTGATGATCCTCGGGTCAAACTGTTACGATTGCCCTTGAAAAACATAGCAAATTTTAAAGATTTTCAAGAGTGTCAAAAGGTTCCTTACCTTTGGGAAATTATATTATGTCATCTAGTGGAAAAGGTGCATTGACTACTGTTTCAATAACGCAATTTATTTTCATACTATTCAAGAAATAGGTCGACTATTCTATTTCGTTCCACTAATCATTTTATTATTCTCAAGTGACTTTTTTATAAGTCCACACATGCTCTCAAAAAATATTCAATTAAATCATTTTAATTAAACAAATAAAGTATCCAAATGAAAATCTAACCTACTAACAATCACAATAATTAAAGGTACTACATATTAAAATAAGAAAAACTTACATAAGTTTGATAATTAATTTTCAATCATGAAATCATATTAATAAGAGATAGTATTTAATTATAAAATACAAGAAAAACATTATACGATCGTTAATCTGTAAGAAATTTTATTTATCTATCGTTTTATAGATGACCTTTTCGATCAAAAATATCGACCAAGTAATTATATGCGATAAGCGCTTAGGAAAACTTCCTGAAATTGCATTGTATGTTAACATAAACGATTGTCTGGTTGTAGAATGTAGGAGAAAGCCGCATACCGCTGCCACGAGCGGCTCGGCCATCGTTTTTTCCCAAAGGAAGGGTTTTAGGAGGAACAAAAATTGGTACTGGTCGTCGCCGATCTCTTGTCCTTAGTTGTTTGCAATCGGTGAATGCGGAAGACGATATTTCAATACCTAATTCAAAGTGTTCTACCCGGGCTACGTCAACACCGTTGTCTTCAGGTAATTGCACGAAATTATGTAACTTTTTTTTAACAATAATGAACATACGTGTTTCTTTTCAAGTCAATACTAATCGTTTTGTAAATTTCATTTTTTCCCCATATTAGGAAACACAGGGAATACAATTTTTGCGATATCTCCTGTCTGGGACATCGAAGAAAATGATGTGCAAAAGTTGGTTTATTTAAGTGAAGAAAAGAGTAACTTTTTCAGGTATGAAGCAAAATCATCAATTGGTTTTCTCAAAAAGTTTGTCATATCATATTTTTTTATTGACACAGAAGAATAAGTTGGAATTTTCATAACATTTTTTCAAGATATATTATCTTACGGTTTGGTTGTTTCTTGTGCATACCTGAAAAGATTTAATTTTACTGGAGATGAGAATTAGTTTACGTCAATAAATGTGTTTTACAAGAGTTGTCGTTGTTTTTATTATGACCAAAGCTACTTTATATATCTATAATAAATGTACATATTCATTCTTATAAAAAGTTGGATTTCGAATAATTTTCTTTTTCCATTTATAATTCGCTGCTTTATTAACGCCTATATTATTTTTGTTGAGTTACCGAAGACATAAAAAATAAACGAAAATAAAAGAAATTGTATCACAAATAAATAAATAAAATTGTAGGCTCTTACTAGTTTTATGATTATCTTCCAAGTATAACACGTTTTTATTCTGATACAGCTTGCTCGAAACCACTGGCACGTTGAACAACAGGATCGAGGACGTAAGCGACAGCTGTCTCAGAGATGTCGGCTTGGGTTCCTATAAAGATAACACATCCGGTACACCGTCGCACTATTTGATGCTTAATAAACAAAACTCTTTCGAGCACGACGAGAGTCTTGGTATATTGACGCCTGACCAGATGACCGACTTTACGGTCGCGCTGGAATGCTCCAGGACACCATCCTGCGAGAATCTAACTGGTTCCGGAGGTTCAAGATTAGCTCTGACTCGAGCTTCAGCCTCAAGACCATCAGTTGATGCTGAACCAACAGAAGAAGGTTCAAGCGAGCGTACACCTTCACCAGAGGAACTTCCTTTGGATCCAAAACCCGCTGAACCTGTGAGAGGATCCGTAGTCCCGGTAAGCTTCGTTACTTCGGTGACTAGCATCACAAGTTTAGAAGCAGGTTACCAGGGCGACGGTGAAAACTCAAGGCCAGCTAGTCGTGGGGCTGATCCACCTTCAGTTGCCCCACCACCAAATTTACCCGCTCCTTGTAGACAAGATCCTATGACCGATTCGGATTTCTTTACCGAAAGTGATGCCGATGCTCACGAAGAAATTGTACGTGGTGATAGAAAAGCGCAGGTGATTGATGGGACTTTATTTTGTGCTCCTGGAGGGCGACGATGTCCCAGTTTCACTGGCGAGGAAATGGACTCCAGTGGTATTTATTCAGATCTTGATAAAAAGCAAGATGAACGCCACGTTCCTGGAGAGGCTTTAGACGAAAACGAGGATAACACGCCGGATACTGTTGATACCGAAGTTTCACAAAGAAGCCAACCGTCTCCTGTTAAATCAGAAGTCACACACGTGTTTTTAGATTTCGTACAAATGAGTCCACGAGTAAGTCTTTCTTCATCTAATAAGTTACATTAAATATAATACAAAATATAAATACGTATTTGCAAAGTTAGTGATTTCCAAATTTATTTCTTTTAGGTATTAACCAGTTTAGATATGTCAGATGAAGTGGATTCGGCATTGAAAACTGCTGAAATTACGGTTATCGAAGTTAATAGAGCAAACGATATGCCTAGAATTAAATCTTCAAATAAAACAGAATCGAGTTCTTTAAAAAAATACAAGATGCCTAAGAGAAATGTTGTATCGAAGATTAAAGCGATGATTGAATCCGGTCCAAAAGATGAGGCGGAGAAGGAAGCTAGACGATCCCAACGATCTCAAAGAAAAGGAAGTCGATGGGATGCGGTGATGAGTAAGATCGAGGCCGGTAAAAACGAACAGAGAACGAGATCCTTAAGAAAAGAAGTTAAATCTAGGGTTTTACAAGGCCTAACGCAATCATCAACTCTTGGAGCAACATTACAAAAAGTTACTGATGCGGATAATAACAATAGCAAGGATAAAAGGTACAAATAGGTTTCGATTAACGTATACTTGTAATCGATATTTTTTTTTTTCATTTCAACTTAATTAAATTTTATTAGTGACCGTAATTGAACTTTCCGTTACATAATTTTTCTTGTTTACGTCGCGGCGGTCATTAGTGAAAGATAAGCATATAATAATTTTATTCAATTCAACACAATAATTCAATTCAGTATTCTATTATTTTTTTAAAATATAATACAAACTTAGTAAATGAGATGCGAGCGGAAAATTGATTAAAATACGCTTGATATTTAACACGTTGATTGCCATGCCAGATTTGCACGATGCTTTCAAAGGGCTACAAGAGAATAATAATATAATACTTAACAATAAATTTGTCATCGTTGAATAGTACATTTTTCTTAGTTTATAATATCGTCTAGTTAGCTATAAAGTTCAACATTTTTTTAGTTGTCAATATTCATTTTGTTTGAATCGCTTAAACATTTGAGGCGATTTATTACTGATGTCCGATTTGGCAGTCAACGTATTAACATGTTATACATAAAACATTTATATAAAAATAAACGTAAAGATAATTCTTATACTAAATAAATTAAATTTGATTTATAGAAGAACGCGTGGAAGACAAACAGTAAAGTCACCCATGCAAGAGACAGCTAGAAGCTCGGTTCGAAGTTCCATGAGCGATCTCAGCAGTGCTCCCAGTAAAGAAGCTCGTAGTAAGTCAATTAACTTTCATTCGTTTTGCTTTTGAATTGAATTCATCGTTTTTTTTTCCTATATATATATTCTCGCTTTTTCTCGTAACTAAAAACACTGTTTTCCCTACCACAACGACTCGTTCATAGCTAGCAAATCCTATTTACGGGAATAAACTCATCGCGCGGCGCCGTCTCGTTCGTAATGGGAAAACTTAGGCGTGCAAAGGAAAATCTCTCTGATGAGTCTCCGGAATTCGTGCTAAGAGGATATTTCAGAGGTGTTATTTAAATCGCGTTAAACATTCATGAGCGAATATTATGACGATGATAATCATAGTGCAACATCCCGAAAGGATTTAACGCGTTGTTGATATTATGAGTGGAAGTCGTTTTTAATCAAAACAACATTTATTCTTATACTATATATATATAGTATATACTACTTGGAGCTTTCAAAAAAGCAATAAAACATTACGGTTTGGATTAATACTTCTTCATACGCAAATAAAAACAATTCGATACATCTCAAAAGAAATATTATTTAATTTGGCTTATTAAACAGTTGTGTAAGTTGGCTTACAGAATTTTTAACATTGTTATAAATTATTTAATAAGATTGATATGCAATATAAATAGATAATAATGAAATTAACATTTTAACATAATAAATTATTTGTTCTATAAAAAATGAGGAAAATTACATTACTCAAGCTTTATTATATATCAACGGAATTAATCGAAAGTGATTCAACAAAATAAAGTGATTATTATAGCATAGTAATTACTATCCAATATGAACTAATAATTCCATAACGAAACACGGTAATGATCGAAGAAGCTGCGTAGAGGCGAGAAGGCTATTTCGTGCTGCTCGTAAAATGTGCTACGCCCGTGACGTACGTTTACGCGTTCTTGGAAGGATTGAAGAAAGGCGACGAGAGTTATGTCGGCCGGTTGTGTTAGCTTATGTGTTCCTATCGCAGCCGTTCACATAGTGGGGAATGAAAACCGGGCTATGAAACGGGATAGGAAACCTTGGAGAACGAACGTCTGCTAGTTGGATAAAGTACAATGAAAAGTAGCCTTACGATCACCTTCTATTTCTAATATCAAGATCCAAACGATCGGACTTGCATTTTCTTTATTCTTATATCATTTTTCTAAATGAATAAATACAATTACATTTCGACATACATATAACAGTTATATCATCAAACGCCATACGTTTTTATTATCTCTACCGACTGTAATAACATTGTATCGTTTCATATTTTTAAACGGAAAATAATTACTATCGTAACTATGTCTATCGTTGATATTATTATTGCACTGTCTTTTATTACCGCCTCTAATGCCAACTATTATCGGCTTGTTATCAATGAAAATTTACTGTTTTGAAAGTATTCATCTACGTGGTAATAATTTTACGGTTATTTTAATTAACGTATTAGGCAATGGAAGTATATTTCGACGATTATGTAGGAAATAAAATAAATTCGACGGTAATTAACCCTTAGCGGTCACACGGGGTGACTAATGTACGGTAACTAGGTTACGGCCTGGCTGAGGTGTGGCCGCTAAACAAAATTATGTACAAATTTATTTTATATTATAATTATTTATATTATATAAATTAAATCATAAAATCCAATAATATTATTATTATCAAAGTTTAAAATATTATATAGGTAATATATATAAATGATATTTGAAAATATTATTTGGATGTAACCACATTAAAAATAGTCCGCATATAATGTGTTAACTTTTTTGGGTACTGATAGATAACAAGTTAGCAACACACAATAAAAAAAGCCACGATTATGTTGTCGACGTTTAGAGTCATAATTGGGAAGACCTTCTGCGCATGTCATGCGTTGTTCCTTCATCGCGTACGTTTTCGCGACAAAGAACGGACCAGCCGTCAATACGCGTATTCATCGTTGCCGACGACCATGCCCGTTTCGATGATAATTTCGGCGTATAGTTGCTCGATACCGCACTGCGGTTGTAAGCATAAGAAAAAGGGCGTAGAATAACGTTCGTAAAATGAGCAAATAAAAGGGGAAATAAACGCCCTTCCCCTTTCTATATTTTTGTCGATGCTAACTCTTGGCACTTTATTCCTTTATTTAATCATTAATTTTTTACTAAAAGCAATTATTTTTTTAAGAATGACTAAACAAAATCTATAATAATAATTTACCACCCCTATTACTTTAACTTCGTCCTAGTACATCGTGTCCTTGAACTTCTTCGTTCTTCGACCTAAGATTTTATCTTCGTCTTTATTATTCGTAGTTAGTCTCATTTAACCCTCCCACACATATAATATATATATATTGCTTTTTATATACAAAAAGAAAATATATTATTATTAATGAGTGATCTTAACAAATGGAACATAAATTTAAATATTACTTTTATAAAAAAGAGACATTGACAAAGTACTGAAAGTATAAAAGAATAAACGTGTCAAATTAGCATCTTGCTTGTCATTCGTCTATAAGTATACGTGAGAAAGTTAATCGTGCAAAAAAAAAATAAGAAAGAATTTCCATCGTCTACCAGACGATCCCTTTCAAAGATAAAATTCTCCCCCTAACGTTAATATAAAATCAACATACGTAGGTTCGGTTAGACCCTTGACCTCGGATTTCTTTAGGGCGGCGGCCGGTATAAGGAACGTACGTACTTACGTCAGAAGAAAGGGTGGTGAATCAGTATTTTCGCTAGGTGAGCATGTGCGTTTGCATGGGAGGGTGGTTTTCTATCGACCCGATGACTGGTGGCGCGTCTCTAGCGAAACTCGGCCACGGAGGTTGGTGCTATGGGTGCTGGATGAGGAGGAGGACGAGGAGGAGGACGAGGTAAGACGGGCGCCCCTCTTCCGGCGCCATTGGATAGTTTGCTTTCCATCGAAGCCGTTCCACCGGATGGAGGAGGCTGAGGCAGCATCCAGTCGGCAGTACTCGGCGGGCATCGTGTACGCTCGGACGTTGCATATATGCGTCTTTACTGTCTCTCTCTTTTGCACTTCCGGAGCCTTCTATCTTCTTTCTTTTCCCATTCAAGCTTCCATCTCCCTCGTTCCTTCTGACCATTCTTTCTTCTTCTCCGATCTCTCTTATTCGAGTCAGCAACGAATCCCAAGTGGTTCGAAGTTTAATCGAAACGTTTGAGAGAAGAAAAGATACATCAACCATCATCAACGGGAAGAACGTGCTACTGCTGTTAAATCCGTGTTATTTTTGTGGTTGCCATATCGTGCTGCTGTTGCAGTTTAAATCGAGATTAGAACGTTATTCTCTTTCTCTTATTTTCTCGTCTCTCTTAAGGTGGTAATCAAGAGAGGGTTCAGGTCAAGTCGCGGCTGCGTTCGAAAGAGGTTGTTCGTTAGCACGTCGTTGTGACCTCGTTCCTTCTTCTTCTTCATCTTCTTCTTCTTCTGGTCGTTTTTATTTCGTTACCTTTTTTCTCCTTTGACTTCGATAGAAATACATCGACGTTGGTTACTATAGATTTTCGAATATTATAATAAAACCTGATTTCCTTTGATTTGGACTTTCAACAACGACGCAATATTGCATCGGCGCTGTTCTCGAGAAATTCTTGTTTGAAATCGATTTAGAGGCTGCGCTCTTCGTCGCGAGAAAAGAAAGGAAAGAAAAGAAAAGAAAAGAAAAGAAAAGAAAAGAAAAGAAAAGAGAGTGTCTTGGCACGGTTGAGAGACTTTCGGTGTTAATCGAAAAGAGAGTTATCTTTGACGAACAATTCTCGTTTACATTTTTAAAATGTCATCGAAAATGTCACGATGCTGGAAACAAAAGGTCGTAAAGAATTCGAGCTCGGTGTTGCTCGAATCATCGAAACTACGGAATCATCTAAACGTTCTTCGAGTTTCTTCCAAAATCGGTAATATGACGCGATGATAAGGAATAAATTCTATTAATTCTATGTATGGAATACACTCGAATGAATCCTTGAAATTCTTTCCTTAAACGAAAAAACGTATTTATTGCGTTTGGAAATTTCCTTTCGTCGTAGAAGTGAGATCAAATTGGTTAAAGAAGACAAACAAGTGCATTAATTGACTATCGTCATCATTATCATCATCATCATCATCATCAAGAAGAAGCAACCAACGGAACCTTCGACGAGCCGAACGTGAAATGCATATTAGAGAGTTCCTTTCCTGTAATAGCGCGCGAAGAAAAAGTCTTCAAGAGGAATGGTTGTTTGAAAGTTCAAGGTTCAACAACGACGAGAACGACAGTAACAACAATAAAAAGAAGAGTAACGACAAATGGATAAGAAAAGGTAGAACAATCGTTGATTTTAATAAGATAGATCAAATCTGACAGAGATAAATAGAAGAGATCTAATCTTCATCGTAAGTTAACCTTCTTCTTGATTAATCGAAGATCAGAATATTAGCTTGGAAAGAAATTTTCATCTCAGATAAAGAGATTATTATCAAGTAAGGGACAATTACAGGAAAGGGAATTATATTTCGGAGAAAATCGAAGAAGAAACTTTGAAATCGTAAGACTCTTCGTACGTTTTGAGAAGTCGTACTCGAAGAGGAGCACTCGCGGGTCAACGGCACTCCCGGTTTATTTCCGGCATTGCCTTTCCTCGTCTTCTACCTTCTTACACTACGTACGTGCGGCACGTTCCTTCAACGGAGCACGTTTGGTCTCCTCTTGCTTGTCTTACTTCTTCATCTCTTTCTCTCTCTCTTTCTTTTTCTTTCTTTATTTCTTTCTGTTTCTTTCTTTTTCTCTCTTTCTCTCTCATTCGATCAACCGGCAGAACGGGCAGGTGCAGCGAATAGCAGCCGACGACCACGTGCGTTTCCAAGGCCGACAAGCAGCGGTCCTCCGCCACCACCATCGACACCACCACTACCCAACAACCATCGTTGGAACTCTCCGATCTTACCTACTTACGCAACAGAATCAGATGTTAAACCTACGACGACGGGTGGTGGACGCACGACGAATCCGTTCAGTGAAAGAGAACTAACGCTTCGGAATTATTTATCTTCAGAGAGATCTGGCAAAACAGAATGTGCTTACTGTGATCATTGCTGTGTGTGCATGTGTATACGTATATATATGTACGTGATATCGATCCGTGATGATAATTTTTTCGTTCCTTTTCGACGTTGACAAAAACTTATTCGAAAATTAAAAAAGAGAACGAATCGATTTATTTCTTTTTGGGACAATATGAAAAGAAATCGACTTGATAATTGGACAAATTTGTTAATGAAGTACGAAAAATATTGATGAATAAAATTATTCTTAATTTCGAAGAAAATGGATAAGAATCAATTTATAAATTGGATACATTTTGAATAAAACACGGATATTTTGAAAAAAAAAAAACAAAATAAAACGAAAAGGATTGTCAGTTATATCGTCTATGGGGTTAAAGATAAAATAAAAATGCAGGCAAGATCGTGCGGTCGATTGGAAATATTCGCATTCCAAAGTTCGATCAATTTCCAAGCGATCCTTGAGTTCGGCCTTCGAGAGAGGATCAGGTGAAAGTTTCGGATCGCTTTCCTCTACAATGGAGTATCAGTGAAGGGAAAATACGTGCCTTCAAGATGGGACAGCAAGGTTCGAAGGGCAGGCCATCACTTCGTACGGATTTCGTGAGGGATTCTACGAAGATGAGATTAGGCAGCTTTAAGCGAGGTAGAAAACGTTTTATGGACTTCACCTTTCTCTAATTTTCATCTTTTAATTAAGTTTCTACATTTACGATTAAAGAGCTCGCAAGTAGGCTAAATTTTTAATTCGTATAATCTCTTAATCAAATTCCATGTGAATTATCTTGCGGGTATTTTTCTAAACATTGAAGAAACCACGAAGGTATTTTAATTGCACGACTCTATAAAATCTTTGCACATACAATTTGCTTAATACTTATTTTTCTTTCCTCATATTTTATTTTCTACGATCTTCAAGATTTCACATGCGGTTAAAATCTACTATATCTATACACTTGCTAATAAATGATTATCAGATATTAGGAATTAGACTATAAGGAGAATATAAATAGGAAGTAATTTTGTATTGAATATAAATTTTAAGATTTTTTTTTATATATTTGCTCATGATCCTTCGTGCTCCGTTTAACATAGAAAGTTTTGATATCCACAACGATCTACCTACAATACACGAATATTCATGGAATTGGACTTTGGGTCGAGTGATTTCTCCAGAGACTAAAGTATTTTAGGGAGGATCAAAGGTATCCCACTTTTACTGGGTGACCGAGTTTCTCTTCCATGCTCTTCCCTCTTGATGCAGTTAAATCGGTATAATTGAAAAATGGATGGCAGATTGAGAATAGAGAGAACAAAAATTAACACGTGTTCGATTTAGTTCAAAAATAATAATAATTATAATATATACCTAATAGAGATTTATTAGAGAAAATTATTTCAATGATAAAGCGAATTACTTTAATTTCAAAAGGATTAACTTTAATTAGATATTACGCTTTTTTGTCTTCGTCCGATCGATTCATCTGTGCCGATGACAGGCGAGAAATCGAATATGTCGAGATATAATCTAATGATATATTTTTCACATAGAAATTTCTTTAAAAAAATCGAATTAGTAATACAACGAATTAAATGATGAAATTCAATTAGGTATCATATTCTTTTTATTTTCTCTCAATGAATTCATTCTGGTCGATAATAGACGAGAAATTAAATAAATTGAACTAGAATATAATATTATTAATATTTATAATATTATTATACTTTCATTT